TGCTCAGTAGTGTCTTTCCACTCAAGACCCTACCGAGCAGGAGACAGCAATAATGTCTTCAAGGATAGAATGCCATCAATGACTCGATATGTGAATGCATATGCTTGCGCGGCACGCAGATCTCACTGACGAAGATCATCGATGAACTGTGCTTCGTCCCAATAAAGCGTGAGGTTGGCAATTTCTGGTCCAGCGTTAGTGCCCATAGGGATACCGACCACCTGATGGCGCAGAGTGCCATCCCTTGTATAAAGGTAACCCTTGTATAAACGTAAATATTAAAGACCACGAAACGTAGATGTTGCTCTATTTCTGACACCGAGAGGGTGTCTGGCCCATGTGAAGCAACCCACTCCCCACGATGAGGACCGCCTATAGTCGTGTGCATCTGTACTGGCCTTCTGGCCTGTGAGATCGCCCCAAAGCATAATCATGTGCTTCACGAACAGCATTCAGAACATTGTTAAGAATCCTGTCGTGTGGCAGGTTCGTGTACATAGTTGTAAAGTCCGCTGTATGTGGTGTACAGCCTCGAAGGGATTGTGCATTCAGCTTGAGATCCATAATGACTTCCTAAGCACTTCTCAGCAACGCTGTACACCACTTTCTTGATAAAGCTCATTATCCTTACTGCGCAGGGACTTGATCACACCTTGAAGGGCGTAGCTAAGTGACCGGGAGGCCATCGTTGTACTCGCAAAAGGCTTATGGGGGGGTCTGTTGTGCAGGTCCGTAATTGAAGGTCGGTGAGGTGTTGTGCAAGGTGGTGCAAATCGGGAAAGGTTGTTTCGTTGTGTAACTCCAAGAATCGGACGAAGGGCAGGTGGAGATTTGTGTGTCTGTGTGTGTTGTTTTAAAAGACCCCAGATTCTCTCTCTCATTCCCTTCACAAATCATCACAAGCCATCCATAAAACAAAACGGTTAGAGATAAATAATAAAAAATGCTCCGTGACCGGGTCGGACATCCGGGCCCCCCTGACCGTCCGGGGTTGTGCGGTCGGACAACCGGTCGGACATCCTCCCGGGGCACTGTCCCAACCCGAACGCCAAAAAAAAAAGCCAGCCCATGCAAGGACCAGGAAAGGTCCCAGCAAAAAAAAAAAAAAAAAAAACTCCGTTATGCAGAAAATAAACTGAACAAACTTTTGCCTCAGGGTCACATCTGCAATCAGACCCGTCTTCTTACTCTTTCCACATGCGTGCAAACAGATAGCAATCCACACTGGCGCCAGGGGCCCACACAAAGCTCAGAGATATTAAGGCCGAGAACACAGTTCAGGTACAAACTCTCTTCAAATCGGCACCCTTCCCACTCTGTATTCGCAGCGACTGTTCATACGCACTCTACTCCGGATCTCCCTGGATGTCCCACGCACTCTCACGCTGTACCGCACGCACACACACACACACACACACACACACACACACACACACACACACACACTCACTACTGACTATTACTAACCCTGGCAGCGATGACTATCTTCTACTAACTTGCTACTAGCAGGGATGGCCTCTCTATCTCCTTCACAGCCCACTTCGACTTCGGGCATGCATGGCACCAAAAATGGATCGGGGCCTGCAGACCACCTCGCACAAGAAAGAATGAATGGCTGGACGCTGCCTCTTGATCTATACTTCTGTTGGTCGCTGGTCTGCCCTTTTCCACCGGGCCCATGGTCCACACAGTCCCATATGGTACTTGCTGACTGGACAAAGTGAGACTAGGACTGGGTACAGCTGACTAAGCAAAGTTCGACTACCCACTTGCCCACTTGCCTCACAAGGCCAAGTCTGTAGGCCACTTCCGGACTCCCGAAGTTCGTGGACTTGGCCTTTCGGGACTGTAGCAGCTACGACCTTGACCTTTCAGGACTGCAGCAGCTACGATCTTGACCTTTCAGAGTCGCAACAWCTACCACCCCTACACAGCTATGACCCCTACTCTACAGACCTACGGTTCAAAACCCGGTAGCTACACAACCCTACGACAGACAACAGTCAGCTACCAAGACGCAAGTCACGGGTTCAAACACAGGGGTCTACTTAGTACTGTACACGGTGAGCATAGGGCTAGGGATCGAGCCCTGGGATCTGCATCTGCTACTGCGAAGGTGAAAACCGTTTCACATCGAAATTCTTCACCAAATTTAGAATAAAACATAAAATGTAAAAATGTTTTTTATTTTTATTTTTTCATTTTTTTTATTTGTAGTTTTATTTGTATTTTTATTTTTTTCTGAGCGAAAACAAACAAAAAAATCAATTCATTTTTTTATCTTTTTACTTACAACTCCCCCTGTTCAAAACCTTTTGCGTCCCAAAAAAAAAAAAAAAAAAAAAAAACCTTTTGCGTACAAGGCCACCCACGGGGATGTAGGTTGACCGGCGGCTGCCCCCACCCCGTGTGTCATATCGACCCACTTGCACACAGCCAAAAGGCAAAGAGGCAAAGAAAGAGGAAGGGACCAGCCAAATATAACAAAACAGGGGGAAACAAACAAAAACAAATCCTAGATGACAAGTCCCACATGCAAGCACCGCCCCCTACTTCACAGGCCAAACAACGAGACAAGACCAACCAGAATATCAAAACACCCTTGCCTGCAAACAAGCAATCCCAGATCACAAACCTTCCGTACTCGCCAGCGACTATGCGTCAACTCCATTGTTATTTGTTTGTTGCAAGAACTGGTATCGCTTCCGTCTTTCTGATGCTTCGCTCGTCGAAACTATAATACTGGAACACCACCAACGGCAAAAAAAACATAAAAGACAATCCGAGATAACGATTCCCACACAGAAAAGCACCGTCCCCTTACACACAGGCCGAACAACGGGAAACAGTCGCTGTACTCCAACTCCTCGTTTTGCCGCTTGGCCACCTCCACATCCGCGTTCTCCTTCTCCTCCCCTTCATCCTCCATCATCTATGTCGTCACGCCGCCCTTCTCGTTTCACCATCCCTGTCCAAGGTCTCCACCACCTAAAAAAAAAAACAAGGGACTCAGCAAATGAATCCCCCCCCTTTCCTCAAACGCCTCCAGCATCCTGCAGTATGGCCGCTCACGTGTTCGAGACTGAT